GGGGGGGGGGGGGGGTGGTATCCAGTTTTTTTTTTAAGGTTTTTTTTTATCCCACCTTTATTATTTTTATAAATAACACAAGGCGGCAAACATACCTAATACATCTTCCTCCTCCTATTTTCCATACAACAACCACCTTGTGAGGTGAGTTGGGCTGAGTCATGAGAGGACATAGCACTTGAAGCCATAGCTGTTCCAGTGTGTTATGCCACAGGGTTTGGTGTTCTTTCCTGTGTTGTTTAACATTTTGAGAGGGCATACTAAGAGTTCCTTCTCCATGTGAGATTTGGGGGAGATGGACTATTTGGCGAGCTTTCTCTGTTGTGACTCTCAAGCTTTGAACTCTGCTGTGGAGATTCATGTAGTCCCTTCACTCTTGGTGCTTTGTAATGCGGTCAAAACAACCTTTGTTTATTGCTTAATGGCTTCCATCTTGTGGTGGGTTAATTGTTTTTTTGTTACATGCTGTTTTTTATGAGTTTACTCTATTGTACAGTGCCCAGAATTTCCAGATTGGGGTATGTTACAAAAACGGTAAATAAATTAAATACCATTTATATATTTATTTTACCAGAAAAGGCAGACAAGACGTTACAAACTGTACAAAATAGCTGTCCTTGCACATATGTGTGTGGAAATATTTTAAATTTTTACATGTGTATAAGTTTATGTTTGTATGCATACCAGTTAAAGAAGAAGCATTTAACAGAACTCTGTATTTGTGCATGAAGAGAAATAATATTAACCTCTTAATTTCAGTAATTTCTTTCTAACATGAGATATACCCAGTGTAATCACTTGCATATATGATTTTAAGCTTCAAGCTTTTTTCCTTCACAAAATCTTATCCATGTCAGTCAATATGCTGGCCAGTCCCAGCACATTGCAGGAGATTGTTGGATCTTCTACTGGGTGTGTACTCATTTCACAAGAGGCTCTTGCAAGTCTGTTGAACTGCACTATTAAGCTGAGAATCTACTTGTAAAAATAAATTTAGTGTCCTTCATGACATTTAAGGAGATAATCCAATATAAATTTCAAACAATTTACCCTTAAAAAAACTTACATAAAGATTGCAGAATACAATTTCAAGTTTACAACTTCTGTAAGCTATCACCTTAGTGAAATATCTTTCTGCCAGGCATCTGCTTTCAACTTTCTGTATCAATTACTGAGCCTCATAGCATGATCTATAGTACCAGTGGGGTGCATGGTTTTTGGATCCTGGTCCAAAGTTACATTGAACTTAAGTAGGTACCTAACTAGGGGCATTAAAATAATAAGAAGTACCTGGTTTTTTAGGTAAATCTACAGAAGCCATATTTGCTTGCTGGGGACTGTTTTGGAAAGCAAAACATCAAAGCTGTATAGGCAGAAGGAGGGAAGACTTATTGCCAGTTCAGATAGTTGTGGATCAAGCTGTTGGTTGGTGCAGGGATGAAAACAGAAGGGAGCAACAGTGAAACGGAATCAGCCACTCTTTCAGTTAGCCAGCAAAAGTGCATGAACAAAGGCATACAGCATTTTTCTTTCCATCAAGAAATTGCAGTCTGCCCTATCCTTATCCGTATGCTATTAAGAAAGGCTGTTCCCCCAGTATTCTATCTCAGGATATTTCTTTTTAGAATCTATATCAGTCTTGTATAAGTTTATCATTTGTAACTACAGAACACAGATCCTGTCTCCAAAGATGCAACTTTGAGAAAACTTTCTTGATGAGAGATCACAGCCAGGAGCTCAGTTTGCTGCACAAAACACACGTCCACTAGAGAAGACACTCTTAAGTACAGTATTAAATTGGAGGATAGCCTTTACCTTCTGTCATGGAGTGGAGTGGAGTGGAATTCCTTGTCCTAGAGTGATGTCTTTTGTGGAGGGAAAGATTGTTTCTGCTAGATTGTGCTAACAGATGCTCATATAATTAGCTGTGTTGAAGTCTACTGATTTCATTTACACCAAAGCATTCCCCAGCAGAAATCTGTTCTCAGTGTTCTTTATCTACAGTGGAAGACATTCTTAAACTTGTTCTGCTAGCCTCATGTCCCTGCAGTAGCTCCATTTCATCACTGTTTAATGGCTTGAATCCAGACTTTCTATAAGTGGAATTTCATTCACAAAGCACTTCCCCGGAGGATAAGGAACGTGGTGTTTATTTTCTTTTGTTCTGGCTCCTGCAGCTATCTCTGCTAAATGAGAAACTTCTGTAGAGGGCTGGGGAACCATATTAAAGGGAACTGTATGTAATGAAAAAGGAATAAGTGAGAATTGTCTTTGCACCCTTTCTTCCAGTTGGATGGCCCTCCAATATATCTTTCTTATGCAAATGGAACTGGAGATGTGATAGAGGAAAAACATATTGATGGGAACTTGATTTCAGAGTTTAACTTAAGGTGTAGGCATTAATTTTGATATTCATTTGAATGTTTGGTCCTTCCACTTTCAAAAGGTTTCATTGATCATCAAAGCTAATCTGTTTTGGGGAGGGGAAAAAAAGCCTAATTGCAAGTGGGAAAAAAAGCCAGATTTGTGCAACAGACAGCAGAATGATACAGGCGTGTTCTTGCTGAACATGATTAACTCTTTTTGGTCAGCTTCCCAGGATCCTTTACACTGAGTGGCGTTTCCAGTTTTTGATCATTTTTTTTTAATGAACAGTTAAATAAATCCATAAACTTGATCAAGAGTAAAGCCACTGTTTGAATGGTACCAAACGCTAACCTTTCTCCTAGCTATCTTTTCAAGAAAAATCTCTTAAGCATACATAGAGTTGATGAAAAATTGTTGATGTAATAATGCTACTGTGTAGGAAAATCTCTGAATTGTAGCCACTCCTGCCACTGTATTGTTTCCTAATCAATCACAATCATTTCCTAATCAATATACCTAAGCTACTACTGCCCTTTCATATTATTTTTTCTTCTTATATGGAAAATACTAATTTGTTAATTGCTTTAATTGGATTTACTTTTTATTCTTTGCGTTTTATTTCCCAAAATTTTAAATATAAATTCCTAATATTAAGAATGTTCTTTATATTTTTAGAATATGTCTCTTTGTAGGTGGTCTTATTTATTTATTTATTTATTTATTTATTTATTTATTTATTCTCATAAAGTTTCTGGTATCACTTTATTTTGCAGCTGGATCCCGGGCTTCGTACACAAGTCAGCATAGCCACCTGGGCTCAGAACTAAGGGCACTACAATCTCCAGAACATCATATAGATCCTATTTATGAGGACAGAGTGTATCAGAAACCCCCTATGAGGAGTCTCAGCCAGAGTCAGGGAGACCCTCTTCAACCAGCACATACAGGCACATATCGCACTAGCACAGGTAGGTGGAAATAATCTGCAGGTTGTTTTGGTTCTTGCCTGGGTAGGTACATTGCTTTAAATGATAAATAGCTGTTACAAATACAGTAACTGAATTCATATCTGGAAAATTATGAAATTATAAGTGCAGCAAAAATTCCAACAAAGTGTTTCTATTTATCTTTATCCTTTGCGTCTAGCATTGTTTGCTTGACTGTGTTAATTTGCTGAAGGTGCATGGAACATGACTTTGTCATGTCATTAATAGGTCATTTACAATGGGATAGTTTAATAATTTGAAAAATGGGCAAATTAATTAGGCATTGAACAATAAATTTCTTTTCCACTTCATTCATATATATATA